TATTATTATTTTGTTGTTGTTTTTTAAGTAATGTCGTATTTTTAATATTAAATCAGGAAGAATGTTTTTTATTTGACACAAAATGTTTATTTTGCATGTGCATTTTATTAACTTGTACTTTTTATTAATTAATATTTTTATAACTTATTTTGGAAATAAATAGGGGAAAAACTAAATCTTAAAACATTTTGAATGCGAGTGAAATATTAAAAGCAAGCTGAGCTTTTTTATTCATTTGATAATTTATTCTTCAAGGTCAAACTTTTACTCGCTTAACTGGGATAGGCGTTATAGTAATAATTTTCTCACCCAGCTGTTCCTAACAGTTGGTTTTATTAGCAACGATGATTTTTCGTATTTCTGGCATATTCTGCTTTCATAATTTACTTGTTCTAGTCTTGGGAAAGAGCGTCATATTCGAGCGCTCAAATCATGTTAGCTTGTTTTTCGACTTCATTTATTTAGCTAATGAAGTTTTTATTATTAAGTATCTTTAGTTTCCTTTGAATTATTCGTTTCGTGTTCTCGTATTTAACTCGAGGTTGATTACTAGATGGAATTGATAAATTTTAACGATAGCTATAAAATTTTCAAATCTCGGTTTGTATACATCGTTAACTAACAGTGTTTATTTAATCAATATAAATTAAATAAAGTATAACTTTAATGTTTATTAAGAATTATCTTAACTAAACTATTTTTTAAATAATAATTCTAGAATATGAAATCTATACTCCTGACTTTAAGTAGTTTACTTGCATAAAAACTTTTTCTAGCAACTTTTACCGTCCGCCTCCGTGGCCACTTTGTCCCACTTGGCCACTTTGTCGTGGCCACTTAAATAAAAATAGTCTAGCATACGATCCAAATGGAAATTTTAGCGTTTCGAAAACATTACATTTTAACCTCTTAACGATCGGTTAATTTTCAGGAAAACGGTCATAAAAGTACCTTTTTTTTAGTGCTATTTGATTAGTGCTGACATATAGTTTAAAATAAACTAACAATCTACAATTACCTTAAAAATATCCTGGTACTGCCATCTGATGTGTAAAATGAGAAATAAAATGTCTTCCTGGCAAAAGAAATAATTAGTTTTGATGGCAAAAGAAATGAATTAGTTTTATTCTTATTGGCTCGTTACTACTGAACACTCCAGCCCGGAAATATCACGGGAGCGAGAAATCGAAGGCGAATCCTCTCCCCGTCATTTTCACGGGAGCGAGAAGGAAGGGGTTAAAGAAATTAGGCTGAAAGGCATCATAACTGAAATAATTACAAGACTAATTACCAGCTAAATTCAGAAAATCAATATAAAGAAAAACAGGAGGAGATAAAAAGGTACATAACGATGAGTTTTGCTTTGGAAACAAGAGATTATCGCTCAATGTTTCAAAATTCGTCAGCAGATTGCACTGCTAACTGAAATACCGGTATCATTTAGCTATTAAAACAATTGCATAAAATCAGACAAATGAAGAAAGAAAAATTTATTGGCTCTAAAATTAGAAAATGTAAGCTACCAAAATCACACATACTATTGATGACATTCGTTACTGCTTTATAAAATGACAAAACTAGTCGACACCTTTGACAATTTTTCCACCAAGCTAAATTTTATTTATTACAATAGTTTGTAATAATATACAATAAATTCAGCAATATATTTCCAACTTACAGACCATTCTTACTTATTACAGACCAAATATCTGTTCGTATTCTCGTATATGCTCGCCGTAAGCAGCAGAAGTCACACAATCATAGCAATATTGTTTTTCTTATTGATTGTTTTTATCATTACGGTTATTGACTTTAAAGAAAGACTATCAAAGAAGAACATTTTTTAGTTTGTAGAATAGGCAGAAAACAATTTTTTTGTAACTTAATTTTGTGATTTAGCTTTTATTTAGTATTTGTGAAAGAACGCAGGAAAATCGCTCCAATTATAAATGGAATTCATTTATTCCATAAAAAATTAAAATACAGTAGAGATTGAAATAAAAAGCAACGGAAGCCAGAAAATAAGAAGTCAAATGAAAGTTCAAAACTTTTTTATTCTTTTTTATTTGTGTGGCAAGCAAAACAACGACAAAAAAAATTTCGATCTCGTAACTAATTCATTTTAAAAAATGTGTTAAATGTTTACAATGTTGCGAAGCAATGCATATTTACTGAAACAACTTTGATAAACAACTCCTTAAGATATTTTTTCTGGATTAATTCACAAAATAAAGTGACAAATCTAAATGCATCTGTATTTTTGTATTTTTCATTTTTCTGTGTGATTCATTACAAGTTATATTACCGCACGCTAGGACAAGAATAACTTATTCAAGACGTTTAAATAATTTTTTATTTTCTAATTATAGGGGCCTTTTTTACTTTCGATAAAAACCATGTAAGTCTTTTTTGTGGTTTTTTGGTTTTTATTTTAACTGACCATTGTTTGTGTGGTTATACGTGTTATTTTTCTGATTTCCCTTCAATGTATAGTATAAAATAAAAACAAATTTATACATGAGACACAATATTCAAATACCGGAGAGGAGTTTTTCTCAGCATGAAAAATGAAAGTTATGAAATAAAAGCCGAAGCCATCGAAGTAGCACGATAAAAATTCTTGTTTGCTATACGTTGCCTTCGGCAATATTATACATCTTTTTTTGATACAAATTCGCAAATTTTTAGGCAAATATTCTACCTAAGAAGATTATGTTCCAGCTATAGATAGTCTTATTTCATCTTGCCAATAGTAAAAAAACGAAGATAGATAAGAAAAAAAAAATTCTTTATTCAGAAAATGCGTAAAAATCTACCAAAGGGAATATTACTACTAAATATTAAAACATGATGTGTCAATATTACCATTGGTGTTAGAAAGTATCCAAATACATTATCAGTATTTTTTAATCACAAAAATTTAATGCAATTATCGATCAGTAAAAAATGCTCTTTCGGTATAAAATTTATAAACTAAATATCTTCTCCTTATCGCGGAAAGAAAAAAGTTATTTGTTTTAACGATTAACCACGTCAACAAGTAAAAATGATCATACTTGCGTTATTTAACTCTTTTTTTTTATTTCACATCTTAAGAATATAAATACAACGATTTTCCATTTTCAAATCATTCCTTCTTTAAAACGTTGAAGAGCTCTCTTCGAAATAAACCGCAATCAACGATTTTTTTTTTCCACCCTCCGATTTCATCTTCATCTGCGGGCGGTAATTTTTAAATCTCATTACGAATCAGTGAGTTTTCTCGATTGAGCGGGTGAAGAATACTTGCTTAAAGCAAATTAAAACCCATTTGTTCGCTGAAGTTTTACAGATATTTGGACTTACAAATTTATCTCTGCTATCCATGATTCCTTAAAACACATAATTGAATCTCATTTAATTAAAGACATTTTCAGTACATATCGTTATCCAATTAGTTTTCGCCTCACTAAATATATAACAGCGTAATAAATGCGATGAGGGGAGGTGGGAGGGAGGAGGATTGGAAAATCGTGCAAAAAGCGCGCACGTATTGGCTCCCAATTCGCTTCCAAATATTTGAGGCCTGTACTAAATAAATGTTTATTTAATTCATTTGTGATCTTAAACAACAAGTATTTGGTAGCTCTTGTCCGCGAAAATTCAAACAATGAACCAAATTATGTAACCCAATTATAAATTACGATCAGTTCTAAATTGCATTATCCAATTTACAATTTATTTTCTACCTTCAAAACTACATCTGCGAGGGTAGATAATTAAATAATGGAAAACGACGCTGAAGTAAATTTTTTTTTTTATATCTGATATGTTTTTCATTTTTTTTTAGTGGAGAAAATTTAACAAGCGAATTAATTTTTCAAGAAACGGAGTTAGTTCATTTACAGTGTAAAAATTCTTGTTTTTCTCGTTTAAGGTTTTTAAAAGGTATAATTCTATCATAATTTGGCTTGTCACTCGTACGACAACCTCTTAATTCAGTTTGACTCTAGGCAGTGTTTTATTTTTGTTTCAGAGGATTCGTAAATTTTTAAATGGAGAAAAAATTTGGTTAAATTAAAATCTAATTCCGACTTTTACCCTTGTGGATTTGCAGAAAATTATGAAGATGGTGTGTTTATTTTGAAAGAATGTTTAATTCAAGTTTGTTTAATTTAATTTCTCCGTTCCATCAACAGACAGTTTAGAAAAGACTCTAGAGGTTTTACTTTGTCTAATTTATTCTTATGCTTCAGGAATAACTTAGTTACAAATTGTTTTAATTAAAAAAAACAGTGCGAAGTTTTGAAAGTAATCTAATTTGCAATTTTAAAATTGTTTAAATACTTTAAAACCTGTTTGCAAAAAATTATTTAAAATAAATTAACTCAGTTCCTTCATCCCTGATAATCATCTTGTTATTTATGTATTGAAACATGGAGCATTTTAAATGCATTATAAGAAAAATGCTTTCGCCATTGAGCCGTGATAGGTCAGTGTTTAAGGCACTTGACCACGATTATGAAATAGTGAGGCTCTGTCCTTGGTGATAGCTTGAAGCTTACACAGCTTAATATGATGGCTTATCAGCTTTTTTGTGGCGTAAAGGCGGCTGGCACTCAATGCCCACAACATTGCCACCATCATGCCATTGGTCCCGAATTTGTGGAGCCTTAATCTTCATGTTTCAATCCTCCTGGCCCAAAACGCACTGTTTCGGGAATTCTTTACTTTTTCATTAAAATACTCTTGATCCTTTGCATTGTTTACAAATGATCAAGTACCTAGGTTTAGTAAAATGGCTTTGTCTGTCCTTTTAAACCACCAGAGCGAGGCACCCCAATCTGCTAGAAAATTGTAGATTTTTAAGATATCTTTATAGGAAGCATATGACCATATAAATTTTGCATTTGACCATTAAAATCAAATCTGTTTTTTTGAAAGATAAGTACTCTAATGGACTGTATTCATGAATTATGTAAATCTACTTTATAGATATTAATATATTTTTGCTATTTCAGTTTCTCCTGCAAACGAAGATCTAAAAACAGAAAAGTAAGCTGTTTTTATATTGGTTTTATCATTTGCAATAAATCTCATTAGGTAATTTTAAATACTCATTCATATTTTTCAGAGAAAATGAGCAAGTAGGAAATATTGCATTCAAAGAAGAAATAAATGTATGCGGTTCTCAAAATCAGGTATTTACATTTTCTTCATTATATGTATTATTAATTATTATTATTAATAATGTTATTTTACTATAGTCTTACTTTGTATTTCTTGAAAAATTTCTGCTACTAAAATGTATATTATCTTCAAATCATTTTCACATTTCGTCAGCGAGTTTGTTTTTATTCTGGACAAAGCTTAAAAAGCGGTTATAACAAAATGGATGCATAGCTCAAAATGCGTATTTAAGAAGCGAGCACAGCTCAAAATGTATTTTTAATAAAATGTATACACAGCTCAAAATGCGTGTTTACAAAAGTGGACACAACTCAAAACATGGTTTTAAGAAATCGATACACAGCTCAAGATGCGTGTTTAAAAAAGTGGAGAAAACAAAGAAATGCGATTTTTTTTAATGATCCCAAATTCCACAACAACTTCCTAGCTTTTTTAAACATTGAATGTATCATTAGGGGGGGGGGGCAAAGTCCCAGACTTCGGAGGCTGGGTATGATACAGATGTCCCTTTTCAGATAGGTTTTTGTTTATGTTGAAGTTGTGTATTTAAGAAGTGAACACAGCTCAAAATGCATTTTTAATAAAACGTATACACTGCTCAAAATGCGTGTTTAAAAAAGCAGACACAATTCAAAACGTGGTTTTAAGAAAATCGATACACAGCTCAAAAGGCGTGTTTAAGAAAGTGGACAAAACAAAGATATGCGATTTTTTAATGATCCCAAACTCCTCAACAACTTCCTAACTTTTTTAAACATTGAATGTATCATTAGGGGGGCTGAGTCGCAGACTTCGGGGGCTGGGTATGTTACAGATGTCACTTTTCAGATAGGCTTTTGTTTATATTAAAGTTGAGTTTTATACAATAATTCTAAAAAATGGAATAAATCCATATACAGTTAAGCCTGTAATCAAGTAACAGAAAAAAGAACTCTGTCCTCTTTTTTTTCTTTAAAATGTTCTCTTTATTCAGCTTTGTTATTTTTATTATAATTAAATTTAGAGATGTTTTAAAAATAAACAATTTTCTCCGTTTGTTTCTTTGCGCTTTAACAACAGAAAATTTTAAACGAATAATCTGCATATGCTAAAATAATCTCCGATACTTACTACCGTGCCAAAGGGTTTCTGCTAACGAGTCTGTAATATATTTTCAAAGTGACTACCTTTATCCGCAAAGCAGAGCTAAGAATTTGTCTCTGTTATGGATCTCATCTTCCCCACTGAGAGTTTGAACCAGCCCTCTTACTAAGACATTTTAGGGAAGCTAAAGTCTTGCGCGGTTTAGATCTTCAAGATGAACAACCGGAAATATTCGTTGATTTAAATCTGGCGAATAAGGTGGCATTTCGTGTACTGTAAGAAAGTCATAAAACTATTTTTGAATAACGTTGATTATATGTGTTGAAGATTAATCTTGTTGAAAGGCAATTTTTCGTTTTCAAAGAGCTTTTGTGTTCATAGATGCTTAAAAGCTTTGAGACATGTTACGAAAGAAAATACTTAGTTATAAACTTTATCCTGGTTATTTCTCGTCATCTTATAAGTACACAGTGGTACGTAACGCCAACTTTTTAATAACATGACATATTTTCATATTGTTTTTGATATTCTGCTTGTCGATACGTGTGTTGCTGACAATCATCATGTTCAGGGCCGTGGTGGCTGAGAGGATAGAGCGCTCACTTCCCAATTAGGTTACCCGGGTTCGAATCCCAGCAATGGCTGGTTGATACGAAATCAACTCCCAGCTCGCATCGACCTCAGTGCTGACATAAAATATCCTCAGTGGTAGACAAATCATGGGTTAGAATTTCCTCTCCATGTAACGCAAATGCGGGTTAGTTCCATCAAAAAAATTTCCACAAAGGCAAATTTCCCTCAATACTTGATCCAGGAGTTCCCTTGTTTTATAGATTGGGTTCAAAATTACTTGGCTACAGAGTTCAATAGTCACGAACTCAGAATTAAATCAACTGCACAACATCGGTTATAAAATAATATTTAAAAAAATCGCAAGGTTCAACAAATCTTAATATTTAAAACAATTTGACTTCAAACTAACTACTTTACATTGTGAAAATGTAATGAAGTTTTCATATGGTTATACGCTTAAAATGTATACAACTTTACTGCGAAAATAGTCTTTTAGAAATTTCTTAGGGTGATTAGGTAAGTTTCGTTGAGCTTAACTTTATGCAACGCTGCCAAATAGAAAGATTTGGTTATGATATTTAAAAATATGTTTTTATGAATTTCAGTATCGCTAATAAAATGGATTGAAAAGGGGCAGAAATAGCATTTTTATAAAATGGTTTAATCGAATTCATAATTTCGAGACAAAAATTTACATTGAAATATGACAAGGGCAGATTCCCTTAATCGTCGATTAGTAGAGTTTGACCATCGTTTGGCGAATAAGATGGCCTAATATACATATCTGTATATCACCTAAATGAAGTTGAACTTTATAGGGTGACAAGAAATAACCTGGACAAGGCTTAAAACCAAATATTTTTACCGTAACATGTCACAACTTGTTTGAAGTTGACCCAAACGGGAGAAGTGACCCAGCCACTTTAAATTTTTAAAAGATTTATTTCAATGTATAAATACCAAATATCGATGCAACAATCATCAGAAATTTTTCGTGATGGGAGAGAGGAAATTACTTTAATTACTTTATCATAGTAATTATTATTTTAATTATAATCGAAATTACTTTAATGAATCTCGCACAAATCAATTCAACCAATCAAATCAACCAATCAATTCAAATTAACCAATGCATTAATTTCGTCCTGAACATAATTTCACCAGAACATTCTTTTTAATTTTATAAGGATTTTATAGATAAGATCTTTTTAACGATTTCATCATTTTCAATAATTGTTTCGAGATTTTAGATTGGTATGAAGGATTAGCTGATATACAACTAACGTTCTTGTACAGAGTATATAAGTAAAATAGAAAATCGTCAATATATCAGTACTGAACAACACTACGAAATCATGCAAAACTGAAAGACATATACCGACATAGTTAATACATCTAAAATAATTCCAATTATTTTTTTTATTTATTTATTGTCGTTTGTTACCCTTTCCAGCGGTTTTGCGATATTAAATTAAACAAAAAACAATTTTTTTGTGTTCATCTCATCCGAATAAAGAAACTCGCTTTAAGAGAATTAAATAAGCACATGGTATCAGATAATTTCAGGAATACTAAGAATACTAATTTGGTGACGTAGTCCACGCTTTCCACCACGTTAGCGTTGTTCTTTGAGTGTATCGAACATAGTGAATAAAAAGTAATTAAATGTTAGAGTATGTGCAATAAACTATTTTTTTATCAGTTAGTTCTGTAAGCTAACAAATATCACTGATGTTATCTTTTTTTTTTTTAATCCGTCTTTGAACAGCCGACTCAATTTTGGGAGCCTTGTGATTTTGAACCAATCCAGAAGACAAGGAAACTCCCTAGATGTATTGATTTGTTATGGGAACATGGAGGACTTTGCGACTAGACAGATTTAACGTGCATCAGTCACCATTTACCACGCTGGGCGACTTCGGCCGGCTGGGATCGAACCCACGAACTCTTGGCCAGGGGCCCAGTGCTCTACCAACCAGGCTATCACGGCCTAAATGTTATCTTTAAAATATTTGATAAAAAAATCAAAATCAAAATAAATCAAAAGATCAATAAGATAAATCAAATGAAATCAAAAGATTAAATTTCTTTTAGCACTCACACTGTTCGTATTAGAACGTTTTCATATCGACGGAGACTTTTCCCCTGATTCGAACTATTAGTGTGCCAAATTTCATCGCTCTAGATGGGATGGATTAGGAATCAATTAAGGACACAAAGGTGGATTGTCAAAGATTCATTTTTATACATATGTAGAGTTTCATAGAGTCATTGTTACTTAATATTCACTTAAAAAATATAATAATAATACTTTTCTGTCCCTTTTCATCTAGATCACGTAAGTAATATACTGAGTCATGTTATATGTAAAAATCTAATTTTTGAGCATAATCTCATGAATAATATGGCTAATTGTATACTTGTTGTATTAAATTTATAATCTAATGTACATTGGCATAATATATAATTGTATAAATTATATATTATGCCAATGTACATTATAATGTACATTGGTATAAATCTAATCGTTTACTAGATTTTTAACATATTCCATTCTTTTTCATTCACGTCTCTTCGAGTCTGAATTTTGTGGTGCTGCCATCTTTATAAGAAAAGCAATACTAAGACTATAAGCGAAATTATTTGAGCGAAGTAAAGAAAAGTAGAACTTACATAATAATTTTAAGTTTATATATATATATATATATACGTACATATATGCATATTAAATTTCTTCTCTA